ATTAACCGCAATGGACGAAAGCCTGACGGACTCTTTCGATTGATTGATAAAATAAGATTAAAATTAAAACGAAAATCTTCATTCTCATGTATGGACCACTTCAATATTTGGAGCCAATCCCTATGTGGACATTTGAGGGGCGAAGCCACGTGACGTGAAAGACGATTCCCTATCCTTGCCCCCGGCAGGAATCATGACGTATTTTTCTGGAGTGGTCTACATCCATTATACGAGGCATCCCCAGATCAATTACAAGGCCCCGGTAAGACATCAAGAGAACCTCGTAATCGCCGCTCTGTATTGAAATCATAGAACAATCGATGATTAAACTGTGCTAAATCCGAAGTAGAAAACCATTCATCATACAGTGAAGCAATATGAACCTGAAGACCTCATACTGCAATGAACCGGACTATCGTCGTGAGGAAGATCTCCTCAATCGTTGACGCATCATTCCATCCGACACTCACGGATTTCTAGAGTATGGTCTGCTCAGATCTCTTCGTAGAAGTTGAAGGATGTCTGGCATCATATAAACATGAGCCAATTCATTGTGAAGATTCCACTTCTTTGACCTTTACCAAGCACAGCAAGGACGAACTTCAGCACGAAATCTGTACTTGTTGTAATAGTCATTAACGCAACCTTCCTAAGAGGACAAACTCTGAGAATCAAGTTTTAAGAGGGATGCCGTGCTTTTCATTACATTTATAAACATGAAGTCTTCCTAACAGAGAATCTCAATTTCCACTGAACGGGGAAAAGACCCTTTAAAAACAGAATTCCGTACGATGAAAGTACAAAGTCTTGAGGTATCATGCAGCTCTTCACTTCTCCGGCCCGTCACGTCTGAAGCCCGAACACTGCAGCCCAAAATGCGCGATGCTGTCAACTGTGGGTTCATTTGTACCACTTTAGATTGATTGGGATCGAGAGAATATGCTTGAGATAAAAATGTTGATTCCAGCGTGACAGCGATCTAGCGACCGATCCCGTCAAACGATGTTCTTTATTGTCTCCACTAGCAGACAGAGCTTCGTTCTTCCGTCATGCCCAACGCTTTCCGCTTTGACATGTAGAGGACCGCGGGCACTCTGTGGGACGTCGTGGGACCACAAGCTGAGAGGCAGTGACTGGAGTACACCAGAAGCCACTGGATTTTAAAACGTGAAGAAAATTTTTTCTCGAAGTACACAAATCACTCAGAGATTCCCACGATACAGCGGGAGAGAGAGTCTTGAACAGATGATAACAGATCGAGAGGGAGTTCGTGATATCACGAGTTTGCGTAGAATTGAGGAAATGGTTTTATTCTTATAGAATAATGGGAGGTATTTCATTATCGAAACCAATCTGTTCCTCTCTGATAAATAATTTTGTGAAATGGCTGGATGAATTCGTAGGCACTAATCGTGTCGTAAGAATAGATGAAGCTCAAAAAAATCTCGCACTTAAGTTTTATGGGACCGAAGGTTCATAATGATATTGTAGTATTTTGATCAACAACATAATACTTTTGTATCCTATATGTAGATCTCGATCCTCTCCATCTGCCACTGAGTTGGCCTGACCAGGTCCATACATGTCGATTACACAGCAACAGACAGAGCCTTGAACAAGTAACCTCTATTCAATCTTCGATTAAGAGAGATTAGAGGAGAATATCATTCTTCGAAAACCGGATGTTTTTCACATTCTTTGATAACTCGATGATCTCAAGAAAAAACCTTGGAAATGAGTGATACTTAGGCTTGTGAATAGTTTAGAAAATAACCAGTGGACCATGATCGGCTCTGCTGTATTGTTCCCAAGAAATGAAATATGCTGATTGATTGCAATAAAGCCAAAAACAATTATCCGTGTCTTATGACTCTGCTATAGTCTTTCTTTCGATGGTGTATTTCTACAGTCATTATTGACCTTAAATGTTCTATTTGCAAGGATCATCGACATTAGAAACTCTACAAGGTACAAAACACAACAGCAAAATGGAAAGGAAGCCCCATGAAATCAGACTTGGGTGATTCCAAACGTGTAACACGAGGCGCATGTTACAGGTTTATGGATTGTAGTGTGGCATTGTAGAGGTAAAGACCTTTCCCAAGTTAACCCAATGAACACAGATCTCTGCCACCCGGTACTTACTTGCTTTTGGTTCCGGCAGATTATGTAGCTCGTGCGTATGCAACGCAGGCTATGACGCCAGACAAGATCGCAGGTGTGAGCTTGTTTGTGACTGACGTATTGCTCTGACCATACACAAATCATCCCTCTCGGAACGTTTGACCTTCCTTGTTGTCAAGAGTCGCAGTCCGAGTATCACTCAGACCATAATTTCATTAGGAGTCTGAAAAATTCAAACCCGTGGGCAGTCGTACCTGTAGCATGAAACTGAGCTCGGAAAAAGGTAGCATGGCCCACGGTTCATAAGATTCCCGCCACCGAGTCCAACTCTTTCCAAACGACGTGAATTTAAGTAATTACACTTGTGAATACTGTTCGCCATATTTGGTTCTAATGTAAACGAATTCTACGTCTGAGAAAGTATGGATAAGCTTTCTCGAAGCGCTTGCAGCGGGCTTTGACGTAGTTTAAGCGGCCCCGCTGTGGCCGCGGGTTTCATGTCAGAAAAGCTCGAGGCTACAGAGGGACGGCTTGAAGTGCGGCCGCACTACTTTGTGTTTTTTTTGCGTGCTCCGAGACCGGATTTGGCAATATCGTTGGTGATTGAAGTTCGACCAATCAATCAGGAGATTGTATAAAGGGCCAGCCAGTGAGCTGGAGGAAGTAGCATGAAATCCTCAAGGACTCTTGGAGGAGAACCGTCGTGTGCCCTGCATCTCCTCCCACAGCGATTTGTCTAGTTATGCTGCTCTCGAGCAGCTGTGAAACAAAAATTTTACCATCGCTTGGGAGCAATAAGCACAATGGAGCACGATTCTTCTGTCACTATCAACATGGTTATGATTCAGCAAGCGGCTGTTATATCATGCCTTATAGCTATTTCTGGATTTTTTATTGTGAAGCAGTTAACAGGGAAAAAATTTCGTCTCCCACCTGGACCTGCAGGATTGCCTTTGATCGGACACCTGCACATTCTCGGCGCAGCTCCACACCAGTCTCTTATGCAGCTGGCGAAAGAGCACGGAAATATCATGCTCCTGAAGCTGGGCGTTTTCCCCACAGTTGTCGTCTCTTCTCCAGATCTTGCCAGGGAAGCTCTCCAGGAACAAGACCAGAATCTTGCATCTCGACCGCACTTCGAGTCCGGAAAAATCTTAGCCTACAACAACCAGTCCACTTCTCTCACACCCTGCAATGAAACGTGGAGCCTAATGCGCAAGGTCATCTCGACGGATTTTTTATCTGCCAAGCGCATCGAGCAATCAAAGGTAAAAACAAACTCCCTCCTTGTCCATGAAGCTCTTCTTAGCATCAGAAGGACGAAATGAACTCAAGAATAATGTTCAAGCTACATGGTAGCAACCGATTTCTCCTTGAGATGCATGCTTAAATTATTTCTTGTGACAGCATTACACCCAAGACCCTGGAATTAGATATCAGTGGAACCCAGAATTGCGCCAAATAGCGCCAACGTTGATTCCAGTCCTGCTTAACTTACACTATCACGTGTAACTTGACTATAGAGCATAAGGAGGGAGGAGCTCTCAAGTACCATCGAAGATATTCTGTGTGACGGACACGGCGGGCAGCTGGTAGATTTCGATGCAAAGCTTACAGCCCTAGTGCTAAACCAGATTACCCAATTTAGCTTCAGGAAGAGATATTATGGTTCAAAGAATAGAGAAGCAGCCGAAGGTGCTGAAACTTTCCAATCGCTTATGAAAGAAGCTGGGACGAGCTTCTTCTTTCCTGGAGAATTCTTTCCGTTTTTGATGTTTCTCGATATAGGTGGAGTAGAAGCCCGTATGCATAGATTAGCACAAACAGCTGACCGTTTCTGGAGTAGCATCCTGGCCAGCCATAGAAAAGAAGATGGTAGCTTTCATTCCAGGGAAGCATTAGATCAAGATTTCGTGGACGTGCTCTTGGCATGTCAGAAGGAGAACAAAGACAACGTTTCAGATGATATGATCAAAGCTGTACTTCAGGTACAAACAATTCAGCTTCACTATGGTTTCTTAAAAGGTTGAATCTCGATTGCAGTACGTGAGGGCATCTAGTGTGTACTCCTCTAGTCGATTGGATGAAGAAGCATACAAGCTAAGCTGCTGCTCGATGAGGATTGAAGGCCACTTCATGCAGGGGAATGTTTTCTAACACGAGTCTGCATACTCACAGTTTTTCCGTCACATTCTTGGACTTTACTCCTGCTTTACCTTCACTTCGAACTGAATTGTGACAGGATGTGATCATGGCTTCATCGAGTACCAGCTCAGCTTCCATGTTATGGGCGCTAGCCGAGCTTATGAGACAGCCAGACAATCTTCAGAAAGTTCAGAAGGAGCTGGACACTGTCGTAGGTAAAAAGAGACTAGTGGAAGAGTCAGACATTGCTAATCTCGTATTCCTTCGAGCGGTGGTGAAGGAAACTTTTCGGCTTCATCCAGTGCTCCCTCTCTTGCTGCCCCATCAGTCAGACGTGGACATCAAACTAGGAGGCTACGACATTCCAGCGAAGACGAGGGTTCTGGTCAACACATACGCCATCGGAAGAGATCCCCGAATCTGGAATAGCCCACTGCACTTCAATCCCGGCAGATTTATCAAGAACTCCATAGATGTGAAGGGTCAAAGCTTCGAGCTACTGCCTTTCGGAGCTGGTCGACGGATGTGTGTAGGGTATAGTCTGGGCATGATGACGGTGGAATACGCTCTAGCTCAAATTCTTCACACTTGCAATATGTTCCTTCCGAAGGGCATGAGTCCCAAAGACCTGAGTATGGAAGAGATGTCAGGGCCCTCATTGACCAGATCGGAGGCTCTTCGGCTTCGTGTCACTCCACGTTTACCAGCTTCGGTGTACATCAAAGCAGGAATCAAGAACGTAGCTTAGGTTCCTGATCGAGATTCTGAAGTTGATTCAAGAAACCGGGATTCGATTGAGCCTCCTTCCTTCTACTAGTGATATGAGCAAGCGTTTGAGAAAGGCGGACTCCACACGTTCTCATCATGTAAGCCGTTGCATTAGTCACACTTCGAGATCTGCCGACAAAACAATGCACCAACACTCCACCTCCACTCATTCTAGCATTATCGATGAACGAGAGGCACTCAGTAGAATGTTGAGCCAAATCAACGCCAGCGCTGTCGAGAGATTCGATACGAAGATACTTAAAACATTCAGGAAATGGCATATCTACTCCACCAACTACTGCAAGAATGTGAGTAATGTTCAGATTCTGGAGCAATATCTTCTTCTGGATCAAAGAGTTATGGTTGTAGTGATTCGGACTCGAATGCCACTTCACTTGGACCCAGGAGTTTGTTGCGACTAAATAAAAGCAGGATTAATCATATAATTTCCCCAAGTTTGAATACAGTAAAGTACTGAATTAACAGGCTTACGTTTCTTTCGTACTCATTGGGCAGGTTGCCGAAAGTCAGCCGGGTGCTCACCTTCGAAAAAAGACTTTCAGAAGTCTTAAACTGATATCTGTGATCACATTCATTCCCTCAACCTGTACCTTGTGGATGTCACTTGCTGGTCACACAAAACCGGCAAACGCAATTGGACAAATCGTTAGTAGGAAGATTAGATAATTATTTCACTCAGTACGTTTTAGACGTGATCACATTTTCAATCATCTTCATAACGAGCTCCGACGAAGACTCCGGTAAGAAGGGAGTTCCATATGCTTCCAATGAGTATCGGAAATGTTGAATCAACCCCCAAGATATAAATAATGCATCTGAAACACTTTCGGTGCTTTGGATTGCACCGACGGCTCCTGACTGCGAAGTCCTATCTCAGACCGGCTCTATGAAGTTCGCATTGAGAAACAAATTCGCTTTCTCCTAGAGTCTCAGTCACCTGCCAGATGATGCTACTAATTGTAGAGTCACTAACGATTTTCACTTTAGAATCGTTTGGATGTAAAACTGCATACCCGCGCATCTCAATTTTTGGAAGACTGAGATGAACAATCCACCCAGCTGTCCAGAATCTACTCACACTTCTGTATACCGAAATGCGAAGCACAATATGAATCCATACACCCGTAGACAAGCTAAACAGTAGCCCCTCTGCGAATGAGCTCGCACGGCCGCAATCTCCACTTGCGACGGTCTACGAGGTAGCAAGGAAGACAGAGTTCGAGGAGAGAAGCATGTAGTATTTCAGAAAGACGGATGCCGAGACGATCAAAATCACAGGCCTACCAGGTCTCTCGGGTACGGTTATTTATAACTTGTTCCACCTTTGGCAAGATGGAGATGAAAGCGCGAGAGAACAAGTCGCACACGCCGAGGCCGTCATTTGGCAGAACGCGCGAGGCAAAGAACGAGCGAGCAATCGATTGACAAGAGGAAGGGATGAACGAACAAAAATGACCAGAAGAAAAGCAAATTATAAATCTCATCGTTCAGTGATATACACACACAAGATCAAATCACGGTCAGTGTAGCAATTTCCCCAACTAAATAACACTAACTCCGAACCGAAAACATAATGAAAACGTAAAAAAATATGAGTGACCCATAAATTAAAAACACGGTTAGAAAACAGTGGAAAAAACTTTATATAAAACCTCCACAAAGTTTCCAGTTCAAAACTTTCTGTCAAACTTCCATAGCTTCTCCACTTAGAAAAACTGTCATATTTCTAAAAAGGAAAAAAAGAAATAACAAAGTCACTGTTATAATTTTTTTTTATTTGTCTTAGAAAACTTAGAAAAACTATCATGCGTCTAAAAATTAAAAATCAGTATCATAATTTATGTTGATTTGTCTCAAAAAATTTAGAAAAACTATCATGCGTCTAAAATAAAAAAGTCACTATCATAATTTTTTTGATTTGTCTCAGAAAACTTAGAAAAACTATCATACGTCTAAAAACGAAAAATAAGAAGATCACAAAAAACCAAAAAAATAAAATAAAAGATCACGCGTCTAAAAATAAAAAATTCTTTATCATAATTTATGTTGATTTGTCTAGAGAAACTATCATACGTCTAAAAACGAAAAAAAAAACTGAGTAAATTTCACATTCGATTCAGATTACACGACTTGTTTCAAATTTCGAATCAAGTTTTGCTAAATTTACAAAATTTGTCATAAATTTAGAATCAGAAATTGCTCTAATTTTAATTGTAGACGTAAAAACTAAGAATAATTAATGACAAGACATTCAAGATAACAAACAACATGAGAGAGAGACAAATGTGTATAACGTGATTTAATCTCAGGGCTACGGAAAATAGCATCGTGATGGTATGTTGTGCAAATTGTCTGGGAAATATTTGTGTATTACCATAGATATTTACCAGACATACACATTAGAATATGTCTGAAATACTTTACCAATAGCATTTTGGAAGCTTTTATGATCGGGCCGCTATATTTACAAGCTTCCGTTCTTTTGTTCATGCTAGATGGAATCATGCAAAACTAAATCTTGACAAGGCACATAGCAACACAGATTTTGAATCTCAAAGAACTACTTCCAGCATCATAGCCAGGTGTGAGGTCATCGATGCCCTCGGGGATGAAAAGCACATCCAAAAGTTAAGGAGGGATACTTCTCTGGTAAAGATGCATGAAGAAAATGAAAAGCATATGATACCCACTGCTTTCTCAGTAGGAGCCGAAATTTGAATGAGAGCAACATGTTGAGAAGAAAGAATGTATTCTCCGCAATTTCGGAGCTGCAGGTAAAGAATCTCTGTTCGGAGCAAACTTGATTCCACCTCGTGAGCATCTCGAGACTTTTGCCAAGTGCTCAAGTTACGCGTGGCGATGTCGAGTCATGACAGGGCCAAAAGGCTGTATGTAATGAACTCGTTATAGTGAACAGCGTTCTGAGCGTGTCTCCTCTTCAAGCTCTTGGATTCTTGACCTTGGCATTAGTGCTGCTCCGATCCTGTCTATTCCTAATTGCCAGCCCGGAAGATCATCCCCTGCTCATCCATCATCTGAATGAGAGGGGAGAACAGAAAAACAACAGGAATCAGCGGTCTATTACATTCCAGAGGAGACTGTAACTGAGCATAGACTCAGGATTGGCAAAATGGATGATATCTGTGGTTATTCACCTTGTACTTAAAACTTTCATACGCTTGTAACTGCATGGTATGATTAGACATTTCGATATGGAGACTGCATTGCCAGCCACATTCTCTTGACTTTGAGCGTAACAGTATGGATTATTCTGGCATCTGCACTCTGTCATTGTCATCTACATCTACCCAGGAGATCCATCAAAACGATTATGTACTTGTTTCTATCGATGACGACATTTGCTCATATCATGAGTAGAGTAGTCACAGTGAGAGGAATGAAGAATCAACTTTCGCAACACCGAAACTGATTACCTCCAAATTCTGTCCCAACTGACATCTTATGTTCTTAAATATCTATTGTATGTGCTATAGCTATATATATTTCATTCGGTGTGTGCTTTATGAAAACCTACTGCCCACGGTTCAGATGTTCCACGGCATGCACAGTTTGAACGTCTGCCATGGAGGCTCTGATCACAGCTGTATATGCTACCGTCATGACTTCTTGCGAGCTCGGATACAGATATTGACCTTCAAAATCACAAGCACGCAGCCTGTAAATCGACCGAAGTAACTATAGACCAAGTGACACCTCATTTTACGTTTCTACGTTTGCCTTCTTTTCTGAGTTTCTATTCCCTTCCGAATTTCATCGTCTTGGGGAAAGACATCGCCATATATACAACCAGCCAATTTTTAAAAAAATTAATTTTGTTTCAATCGTTTTCCTTCTTCCATTTGGACCATATTTCCACTCATCTGATTTTTTTAAAATTAATTCCGTATACAAATACTACGGACATATGAAACCTTTGATGTAAAATCACACCGTTAGAAAAAGGAGCTCAATGAAAATTGGTCTATAGAATACTGTACGTCTAAATTTTTCCTTTTTGTAAAAAAGTAACAATTTTTGATCGATACACAAATTGATATATACTGCGCTGGTCACTGGTTGTCAATAGCGATATGAAGACCCCCGGATCATGCATCGTCACGACATGTCAAAAAGCAAAAGCACATTTATCAGCTTTTGACAAAAGATTTTCTCCATCTAGCATATCATCATCTATCATACATAGAACGATGATGAGAGAAATCGCACCACAGAAACACAACTTATCTCTTTTCACACGAGCTTTTGTCTCGCAAATCATAATGCCATGCTGCAACAATCTGCCAGCTATATATTCACCGTGCCATCCCTCGAAAACCGAAAGTATCACCACCAAACAAGAGCAGGAGTGCAATGGAGTATTCTCACATGAAGAGAGGATAATAGACAACAAGTTGAACGGATTTCATTGACAATTGTGGCGCTCACTAAGAACTTAGCAATTCGACGTCATTTGTAGCTTGGAGCAGCGGGAGGCTGGGACCGGGCCAGTGGAAACTTCTTCTCGCTTGTACCATACTCCAACAACAAGCCTCGATGGCTCGCCATCAAGAAGTTTTTGTCTGAGCGATCGCGATGTTGTAGTTTTGGGATGCAGTCTTGATGCCATTGAAATACGCCTTGTAGCTGTCCTTGATAGACCCGTTCAGTTCGTCGCACATTTTTTGGGACTGCTCCACCACATCGACGATGCTAATGACTTCCAGCACCGTCTCGACCACCGACATGACCACCGCCACGACAGCGACGAATTTTCCCACTGCATCGAGCATACCGAAAGTGCTCGACTCAACCTCTGCAACCTCGTATCCAGCGGCCTTGGCGTTCTCTTCGATCGTTTTGTTGGAAATGTTCAGCTTGCAGTACATGACGGCTATCGAAAAATTTCGGACAATCGATAGCTCTGTGGCAGGATAATCTAGTCCCTTGAGATACTCCAGGAATTTTTGGACATCGGTATCCGTCTTTGCACTGAATTTCAGTATATCCAAGGCGTTATAAACGACATTGATTTCAGAGCTATTGTAGAGGATACGCGCGGACTCCGCATATTTCTTGAAACCAGCGGCATCGAGCTTCCCATTGTCTTTGTGGACTTGCGCCATGAATTGCATGAGCAGTGAGCGGCATGTTCTGGTGTCGAGACCTTTCGGCGCGGTCGACGCGATCAAGTCGTTGTTCGCCTTGTACAGAACGATGTACTTGTGGACGTCATCGTCGATCTTAGCTGAGATATCGGTATCGACGGTCTTCAACTTCTTGTTTAATTTCGTCGATTTGTTGGATATGAATTCTCATCTATTGCCTTGGCAACCTCAAGTGCTACGAACGCGGCCATGCTAAGGCCGAACGACCAGATGGATGCCACCGCAGCGGCATCGGCAGCGATTTGGATACCGTCCGCGGCGATGGTGGCATCGCGTACTTCTTGCGCCAGACCGGTGAGCATGTCGAATTCGCTGTCGATAGCAGAGTCCGATGAGAAGTCGCCCAGACCAGCGAACAGCTTTTGTTCTTCAATCAATTTGTCGATATTTTCATCGCTCTGCGAGTCCCAAGAGCACATGTAGTTCAAATAAGTAAATAGATCAGTGCTCATCGTGTCAGCTGTTTGTGAGCACAAGAGAAGAGATAGAGAGTCGAAACAATAGCAATTCTGCCAAGTAGACTAAGCGATTCTGATGAGGACCAGTGGGACCAAATGCCTTTTTATACCCAACACTTTGGTAGAGTCTATGCCTTACGATCGTACGATGCAGGTCCTCCACCTTCTATCGTGCCGGCCCTTGAAGGGTCGGCACGACCCATGGTTTCCATTACCTTCCCTGGTGAGGGATCTCAAAGAAGTTCCGATTGGCCTTTCTGCGGTTCAGCTACGGCTGCTCGACACCAGCGGGTGTCTCTGCATAACCTCAGCCATATCGGTCCGTCTGGCTCGAGAGCCTGGGCTCTATCCAAGGCCGTAGTGTCCACACGAGGTATCACGTCTGCATGTTTCTCAGC